CAGCCAAAAACCGAACCGATAATATTATCGGTCTGGTTTTGCGAAACAGGGAAAACCAGACCAATAATATTATCGATCCAGTTATTGCATCTCAGGCGGAACTCAATCAATCAATCAGACAATCACAATCAATCAATCAATCAATCAATCAATCAATCAGACAATCACAATCAATCAATCAATTAATCAATCAATCAATCAATCAATCAGACAATCACAATCAATCAATCAGTCAACCAGTATGTGTGCTGTCTCTTATACACATCTAGATGTGTATAAGAGACAGGTGTGTATGTGTGTGTTTGGGGGGGGGGGGGGGGCGCCCGCAGGCGAAAACAGGACCGATAATATTATCGGTCTGATTTTGTGTGTGTGTGTGTGTGTTTGGGGGGGCGCCGTGGCCGCAGCCAAAAACTGAACCGATAATATTATCGGTCTGGTCTTGCGAAACAGGCGAAACCGGACTGATAATATTATCGGTCTGGTTTTGTGTGTGTGTGTGTTTTGGGGTGGCCGAGGCCACAACCAAAAACCAAACCGATAATATTATCGGTCTGGTTTTGCGAAACAGGCAAAACCGAACCGATAATATTATCGATCCAGTTTTTGCATCTCAGGCGGAACTCAATCAATCAATCAATCAATCAATCAATCAATCAATCAATCAAACAATCACAATCAATCAATCAATCAATCAATCAATCAATCAATCAATCACAATCAATCAATCAATCAATCAATCAATCAATCAATCAATCAATCAATCAATCAATCCAGTTTATCCCGTGGGGCGAGTCCCGCTATCGAAGAGGATGGATTAACCGCGTGAATCTGGATTTCTTTTATGGAGAGATACAAATCCATATCCGTTGCCATTTTCTCCACCTCTTCACCAACACGTTCAGATTCAAGCGCTTCCCGCCAAGCACCTGCTCTCTCTGGTTCGCCTGAGCCTCCCACCATGCACACGCGGCTCGGATCTTCCCGACCTCTCTCTCTCTCTCTCTCTCTCTCTCTCTCTCTCTCTCTCTCTCTCTCTCTCTCTCTCTCTCTCTCT